GGGGTTACTATAAGTTGAAGGATGGTGATGAACATTATTTAAATATGATCATTATCCAACTATGGAAGTCACAGAACAAGAAGTTCAGTATTCTGTTCCTGGTTTTCCAGAAATTTTTTGGTTTATTATAAAAAAACAAATTTAGTTTTCAAACCAAATAATATAGCATTTGGTTATTGAAAAACTTGCTTGAATCCAAACACCACTAAAGTGTATAAATTCAAACATACATGTACACATGCTTAAAATATTTGTTCTTTCATCTGCTGACTGTTATGCTTTATTTTGGATGTTCCTCCTTCCATAAATGCAGGACTTGTGAAATATGCAATTCGATTGCACACAATGTTGTTGGTCCAAATGACATTGAGTCAGCACAGCAAACAAATGAAGTAAATGCTTTGGCTACAAATGCAGCCCCTGCACTATCAGTGTCTTCAGAATCTCGAACTTGTTTGAATGGTCATCGATTTCTGAATTTTCTTCTAGCTTGTATGGTATTTGCCTTTGTCATCTCTTGGCTCTTCCACTTTAACATCCCCTCATAGCAAACATGTCCTCATAGACGATGAAGTTTCTCGAAGGATTTGAATATATTTTTTCTCTAATATACTAGATCCAATAAATGGTGGGAATGTGAGCCTAACTATAAGCTGCTTTGGCTGAATTTGAAGGTAAACCCTCATAACAATCTCTACATTATCAATTACTGCATAACGATCCTCACTTTAGTATTCACTTCATAAACAATCTCTTCATTATAACCCCGACATAACAAGTATGTGAACTAAAGGACCCGAAAATGTAGTTTTACATTGGAAATGATACAAGCAGACATGGGCTATCGTGTGTCTATAGAAGGAGAGCATTGCAACAACCAAATGCTGCTAGAAGAGCAACAAAGTTTCATGTCTACTTGTCTAGTACAATCTAGGTAGTGCTGTGATTCAAACATTTCCGTATGCTGTCATCTCCAACTATCCGATGGCTAGACTAACATTATGAAATATAAAGTGCCAGATGTTCGCGGAGTACAAAATGAAAAAGATAATTTATTGTCTGAAAAAGATGGAGTTCCATTATACATTTGATGCCATTGCTTTTTAATCATGAGCACCATAGAGACATTAAAAGAATTGAACCTTGATCTTGTATTCCTACACTAGACCAAAACTATTGGACTTAGAGGAACACCAGGGATCATTTGCTAAACCAACCTTGTAATGATATTGAAAGAGAAGTGCTTTTTACCAGCTTTGCTTAGTTGCAATCCATGTATTGTCTATACACTGTTCGTCACTGCTTCAACATGCACTGTGCTCCCATCTATACACAATCCAGAACGCTATTCTCTATAACCATTCTGCAGAATTTCCATTCAAAGGTTTGTTATTCTCTTCCTTAGTTTTGCTATCTTTGCTCAGTGGTAGAAACAATGCTGCACTAGTGCGGTCAGGCAGTTCTGAAAGAAAAAACTCAGTGCTTCAGCTAATTTTTCATCCTTGCACATTAAGCTAAAAGGGGAGAGTAGCCATACTTAAGTTCATTCAAAGAGAAGATTAGGATGCTAACCTGGCAACTGTTTGTCAACAAAGAACACTGCTAGATTAACTGTGTACCTGTCATAGAGCTCAGTCAAAGTCAGAAAATTACTTGCAAACAACCGTGTCAACACAGAACGTCAAGCTGAGAGTTTCACTCACCATGCTACAACAACGTCCACAGTGTAGTGTTTGCGTGATGCAACAATCAAGATGCTCTGAGCAATAACAGCTAACCAAGCGCACAGTTTTATGATCCTATAGAATCAAATTGAGCAATCAGACAAGTTTAGGCTGTCGCAAAACACTTAATTCAAGCCTTCTTTGTTCTTCTTTTAGGGCATCCATTTTACATTAAAGAAAATAAAGGGCAGCCCGGTGCACGAAACATCAAGCGTTCACGCAAGGTCCAGGAAGGGGCTGCACCACAAGGGAGTGTAATGTAGACATCCTATCCTAATGCAAGCATCAGTAGCTAATTCTACGGCTCAAACCCATAACTTATAGGTCACACGGAGAACTATAGAAATAGAACACCAGCAGCTCAAGAAATAGCATATAAATCATATACCCCATGAAGCTATTTCAGTAAAATATTGCAGACATAAGAAAAAAGGCACCTAAGTCAGGTTAACGAAAAAGAAGGGGAAAAAAAAAAGTTAAAGGGAGAGAGGTTCTGTTATGTTGAATAAAATTCAGAATTAACTATCTTCCCCAGCATTCACCCATAGAATAGTTTCATTCATCAGAAATAGAGCTCAAATCTGAAAATCAGATCTTACAGAGCATTATACAGCATATTACTGCTAAATACCTTCTTGTGCCATATTTATGATAAGTACGCACAAAGACTAGAGAGAATATCATATGAGATGAAAATATCAGATCACCACAACCGTAAAGCAGCCCCCTAGGAACTGCACATTCATAAACATCGATCGCATAAGCACATTGTAACAAGAACAACTGAAATACAACAGTGAGTAGGGTAAAATATATCTCACAATTAATTAACAAAACTTCTAAAACACTATTCGGAGAAGGCAGTGTGGCAAGCTTTGAACCCTGAAAAATTAGAAGATAGACAATTTACATATCGCCAGCTCATAGACAACACAAGAGTGCTAACTGACAAAGGATCAACCAAATGCGACAAGTCTTTACCTCACGACAGTGATAATTTGGACCAGGAAGCTGTGTAGAGTAGAATGTTATGATCCGAAGGAACTGACAAGCCTGCAGTGAACTATCATTTAACCGCCTTAGCAGATTGGCAATGAATCAATATTGACTTCTCTCTAAATGTTCTCTTATTTGTGGCCAAGCAGTAACCTAAGGATAACTTATAAAGCATTCAGAAGAGAATTAAAGTTATCCTTGACAACAACATTAAACTGAATATAGAAGCCTAATGATCATATCGAGTTTCACATATTAAAAAAAACACAAGAATGATGTCTAAGAGAATTGGTCACTTACAACTAAGAAAGCCAAGACCCTGCACCATATCAGAACTGTATAGATCTTTTTGATCTTGAAAATGAAAGGATGGAATGTCCACTGCAGCAAAACAAGAGCAAGAGTTAGAACAACAAGATACAATATCAATCCTAAATGGCAAGTATATAGACTAAAATTAACAACCAACTAAAAACTCCAACGCCCGTTGGAAGTTATGGAAATATCCTACAGCCAGATTGGAATAATATTAGAATCTAATGTCCAGGCTTCACCAATTTCTCAATCCTGAAGCAGCCTGATCTCACAATTTCCCATGAGCAAATTACAAATTACAAGAATGAAATACACAAAGTATGACAGATTCAGCATTAGCTGATGGCAGAATATCACCAAAACCAACTCACCAAGACAAAAGACAGAAAGATGGTAGTGAATAAAGTTTCACTTATGTAACCTTTGTCTTGACCAAGCTCCTGAGTTTACAATTGGAAAAAAAAAAAGGAAGAATATGAGCAGGCATCTCTGTAAAGAGAGGAGGTAAAGAGAACCAACAACTAATAAAACCAACCGGAAGAAGAAAGAAGCCGACATCCTGAAGAGTAGGTCCAGGCCGATGTATGTAGTGAACCCCTCGAGCAGCAAGTCCATGTATGTACTGAAGAAAGAAGGGACATTTACATTTTACAACATGCATGGTAGGTCTAACAAAAACACTAAGGTCATGAAGAAAAACAATTAAGGAGAAACTGAAAGGGAAATGAGGTATCGAATATGACAATGACAAATAGTAGCCAGGAACACTTTCAACAGCAGCTAAATATAAAAAAAGAATAAAAATCACAAATTACATCGTTCAATAAGAAATTAAAGAAAATGCAAAATTTGATGGCTCAAAATTCTGCTGCTTTCCCCCCTCCCCCTCGCTTCTCCTAGACACAGAAGAAAAGAACACAGAAAGTATAGAAGAAAGGAACACACGACTTTAGGAAAATATTCAGAGTGAAGTGACTGCAAACAAGATTCAAAAATGTGAAAACTATTAAAGCTTAACCTGAACTTATAATTCTTTAAAGCATATAAGTCATAATTTTGCAAAGAAGTAAAAAAAAAAAAAAAGATGATTAACATCCTTATTGAAAAGCTAATCAAGGCACAAACTCTGATCAAGAACTCCTAGAATCTTCAGCTAAAACCAACACACCCCCACATAAAAAAATAATTCCTTTCCATGTCACGCCCCTACATACAACAAAAACAACCATTATGCCTAACTAGTTGAAGTCGGTTACAAGAATCATCTATATAAATTCCATGCCACAGCCTAAATGGACAGCCCGATGCACTAAGCTCCCGCTATGTGCGGGTCGGAGGAAGTGTCGGACCACCAGAGACGAATCTAGGATTTTAATTCTACGGTTTCAACATTTAAAGTTTTTAGCAGTGAACCCATTATATTTTAAAATTATGAGTTCATATCTACTGTTTATTATAAATTTATGCTTCGCGTCGAAAGTACTGGATTCAGTTGAACCCGGTAGATGTATGGTGCATTCGTCCCTGCGGACCACAAGGGTCTTACCCTATATTTTTTGCAAGAGGCTGTTTTCGCGGCTCGAACCCGTGATCTCCTGGTCACATAGCAGCAACTTTACGTGTTACGCCAAGGTTTCACTTCATGCCGTAGTCCAAATGGTGCAAGAGAAAATTGGTGAAACGATATCTTACTAACAAATCAACAACAACCCAGTAAAATTCCACAAGTGGGGTCTGGGAAGGGTAGTGTGTACGCAGACCTTGTTTCCGAAAGACCTTACTAAGAAATCAAAAACAGAAAATTGAGGGTTGATCAATATAAACCTGAAATGTCAAACCGCCAAAAATATACTTCCAATTCTCCGCAAGAAGACTGATTTCTGTTGCAGTCTCTGCACATACTCTCTTCCATAGCTGCTCTCAATAACAATAAAATAAAACAAAAATTAAGAATTTTCTGAAGCAATAGCAAGAAAGAAAAAGGAAGTTCCAAACTTGAAGAAATGAAGTAAAAGACTAACCTTTGAAGCCTCACGACCAATGTAAAACGACATCGCTCTGCTATGTAACCACCAAAGTGTCATATTACATTACAAAACCAATTATGAAAGTCAACATGGTTCATCCTAAATCCTAGTACGTACCTTCTTTCTTCTCACACAATTCAATTATAACAACCTAAATTTCAATCTGATTGCTAGCCTAAACATAACTTTAATCTCAATATTTTTGTGAAGATTGAATTTTCATGCTATGTGTTATAAGCGTGTGATGTAATTATATATAATATCTGAAAAATTATATAGAGTATCTACTTTTTTGGAGTTCGATTAGTCTCTGCTAAAACGCGAGTTGGACACGGAGTGGCAGTTGAAAGAAAAGAGAGGGGAAATTTTAAAATAATGGAAAGAACGAATCGAGCCAAAAATGGACAATTTTGTCTTTTGTTGTTGATTTTGCTGTACTTATTGCTCTTTTTGAAATCAATATCCGAATTTAATCCGTATTAAGTAGAATAGCAACTAAGGAACAAGTAGCATAAGGCATAAGCCACTACTACGCCAGCGAGGCACTAAGGACGGGTTGCTAGCAGAGGCGGATTTAGGGCCGTAAGGGTGTTCACCCAACCCCTTTGTCGAAAAATTACATTTTATATGTAAGGCAAAATTTATTATATATCTTTATATATTATGTTTTGAATCCCCTTGATATAGTGATTAAAAATGTTCAAAACCTTTGTAATGTCATTGGTTCTATTTCCACTAGCTATAACCTTTTTAACTTTTTCCTTTTTTTAACGTTCTTGGTGGTAATCCTGCCTCCGCCACGGGTTGGTAAGCCCAAATGAGTCCATTCTCTGCCCGCCCTTCAACAACTCTTCAACTAATAGTAAGGAACAAATTCAGCTAAAATAGTAAAACTCGTTCAATTCGTCTAGACTTGGAGGGGTTAACTCTGGCTAGGTATATGATATATATATATATGGGTCAATTTAAAGCTGCACTTCATAAGATTGTAAGAGTACTCCAAATTTACTTACAAGAAATCAGATTACATATTAGCTATACACAGATATAACCAGCACCTACACCTACTCCATGACTAGAGGCGGCGAACATGCAGATCGGGTCGGATATAAGCGGGTCAAAAACAAATAATTTTAAAAATGGATAAATTATTTGACCCGGCCCGTATTTGAGACGGATTAAAAACGGGTTATCCGGCGAATAATATGGATAACCATATTATCCATGGCTTCTTGAATATGATAACTTATGAGAGAATTCCTAGTCTCCCAAACTCGATGAATCCTAATTTGAGGCTTTAAAACTATAAAAGTTAAACACATTAGTTATTCATTGGTTATCCGATCCATTTGATTAACCATTTTTCTAAGTGGATAATATGGTTCTTATCCATATTCGACCCGTTTTTAAATAGTTCATTATCCAACCTATTTGTTGATGAATAATATGAGTGGATAAGTATTTTCTTTTAATCATTTTGTCACCTCTATCCATGAATGTGGATCACCTACTCCATGACTGTGGATCACTATTATTATAGGGTGACTTTCACTAATAGGATCATTTGATGCCGTTTAAAGTTTGACTTGTGAAAGGAACATCAGGCCAGTATTTTGGGGAGCTCTCGTGATAATGATAAGATTTTTTCATATGATAATCACTAGGATTTTTCAGCATTGTGGCTGAAATCCTAATGATCACCATAATTATATATTAAGGAAAATTTCTTGCGATTGCATGACTGATCTCAATATTCTGACCAGTATGCTTCAAAATTCTAGCCGAAGGCTATTCTCTTAAGACTTTGTTTTAACGGGGTTAAAATTTAAATGACGATCCTAAAAAAGGTTCATAAGCTTCATACATGAATTAACGCAAATAGCTGTCGGTGAATGTATAATATACATATAATTCGTATATATACATATATATATATATATATAGCTGTATATAATTATTATATAATCTATGTATGTCGGCCAGAAAAAGTAAATCTTGAATCTGACCGGCTATTTGTGTGGCAATCCCCAAAATAAAAACTTTTTGCAAGTCCAACCCAGCCCACTTAAAGAGTACTTTTTCATAAGCCCAACTACCAGTTTCAATCCACTGAGGTTTTGTGTCAGTGTCGTGTTCCCGATTTCGTGACCTTACCGGAGATATAAAGTCAATATACCTTCCTCATCATAGCGATACTCAGTACAAAGATAGAGCTCTGTCCTCTTCGACCAAATATTCGACAGGTAAATTAAATCTCCGTTCTAAATTCTTCTTGTAGTTTTTCAATGAGATATGTCTATATTAACCGATGATTTGTTGTCTCTGTTGGTGCATATACATAGTTGAGCAGTTTATGACTTGAATTGTAATATTAACAATGGAGGTGGCTTCCAATTTCCAAACATTGTCTTTCGGACCTCGAATCAGTCGACCTCACTACCTCAATATTGTGAGTTTTTGTAACATTTCTCGCCCTGTTACATTTAAATTTTCTTGCTGGCTAATTTCGTTTTTTTGAGTAGTGGGGTTGTCTAAAAGGGGTTTTCTGTGCTAAAGAAAAATGTTGGGAGCTTAAGTTCACAAGCTGAGCAATTTTATAGTTTTTGGTTCCTAATGCTTGTTTAGGATTTTTCTTTTTTTTTTTTCATTCCCAGGGTGTTGATTTTAACGGGAAATTTACTTTTGAGGGATCTTACTTTTTTCCTCTTATGTTTTGGACTTAGTCGTTTTTCATGACGTAGAAAAAGTATTTTTTTTTTTCGTTTCAATGAACATGAGTATTTTGGGGAGGGTGGGTTGAGGAGACTAGCATAAAAAATTATTTTATCCGAAAGTGTTTTTCGGAAATGTTTTCACTCACCAACCAAAATAAGGGAAAATAAGTGATAAAACAACTCATTTTCCAGGAAAATATTTTCCTTCGTACCGAACACATCCCCGGTGTTCATTTCCTTAGCTTAGTGTTAACATTTCGATTGATTATGGGTTCTTTTTTCTTTTTGGTCTTTGAATATTTGATCGGTTGACAGTTCTTTTATCCAACAACAAATCACATGCTTCCACATTTGTTCTAGTTCTCCTCGGATTGCTGCTCCCTTTCCCTTCTTTTTTCATCACTCTTTCTCTCTTTTTTGTCTCCTTCCCTGTTCTTATTTCCTTCTCATCTTGTGCCGGATCATTAGCTAATAGACACTGACACATGTACTGTAGAAAAGGGATAACGTGATTGCTGAATTTGCAAGGAATTGAATGGATGATTTAGAGCTTGGGATACTAATGGTTAATAGTTGTGCATCAAGTCATAAGGGTATATGCGGGAGGTTGTGGAAGTGTCGTTTTTGAAAAACTAATGAATTTAGGTGGAAACAGGTTGTAGAGTTAGTGGTGGTGAAGGTATGAATGTGGTGTAAAGCTGTTACTACACTGAAGGAATCTATAGGTCCTAAAGTAAATTTCTTTGATAGGTAACAATTTCCAAAGCTGAAGGGAAGGGCCCATAATAGAGGAATATAATCTTTTGCTCCAGTGGGAAGTGTCCTTGGTAGTTTTTGTTTATCCTTTGCTACTCATATAAAGTTTTGTTACTAAATATGGTAGTTCTGAGATTTGTGTTTCATCTACTTCTGTTTGGTAGTCATGCTGTGTCTCTTCCTGTTGCCTTGTTGTGCTGCTGTCGCTGTTTCTGTTTTTGCTGTCTAATCTTTCTATCGTTGTAAGTTCGAATACACTTAAATCATAAGCTTTTCTTTCATCATTTTGCTGATTAAGAGCTCATAAGCCCCTCATCTTCATCAGCTATATTATATTGTAATCAGTTTAGCCACCAAATGTGTTCCTCTGGGCTGCTGGGGCATTAGCACCAGAGTGAGTGGAGATGAAACTTTGGTTGGGGTACAGGGAGAAAGTTTAGCAGTAGACTTGTTACCATACTATGAGGATTGTAGTTGAAATTTCCAAAAATAATGGAATTGTCTTCAATTGTGCAGTTGTCAGTAGTCTCAGTTTTCTTCTTCTATTACTATTATTAGTTTTATTCTGGTATGGTTAATGTTTGATGAACCACAATCTTGGCAAAATTTGATATGTATTTAATTTCGTAACCAACTTTCAATTGTAGGGACGCATTGAGGTCAGAGGGCACATAGCTTCAGCTCATTCCAACATCAATGGTGTTCAGATCGATCACTGCCTTGCTTCACCTTTTCAAATGCAATTCAATGCAGTTTCAGCTGGCAGAATTAAGATAGGGTCTGCATATTTGCCTGGACGCTGTGCTTTTGATTTAAAATTTGGAAATTTCAGTAAGTTCTCCTTGCTTAGCTTGAAGATATGCAAAAAGTATGACTTACCTCTCAAAGGAAAGTTATTTACAAATCGGATTGATGAATGCATTAATTATTCATTATCTTCTACATCCCTTTATAGATGCTTGTTTGCCTGCTGATGTAACTATTGTCTGATGCTGATCTTCTTGGGTAGAGTTGCAGTTCACATAGTGCTGTTGCGCTCTTTGGTTTATAAGTTCATATCGGGATTATATGGTTAACAATCTCTATGTTTGTTCTTTTAATGAATAATTTATGTAAAAACTTTTGCTTTTGAGTGTTTGATATAAATCATTTTAATTTATCATTGTTTTAGTGGTGGGTCTCTGGTAATAGTATGATTTTATATTATTTGCTCTTTTTTTGTACTTTGCTGTGACTTTAAATAGACAAGATATGGAACACTCAATGTGGTATTGTGAATGCAGTGTAATTACAGAATAGTGTAAACTTGTGATTTTCACCAGAAAAAAGCAGTTCCTTTTAAGGTTTATTTCTTGTTAAGCGTGCTTTGGTATCTTCCATGAAGATGAACACATACATTAATGAGGAGGAACTTTTGCACTTAAGGATGGGAAGCTTTGATGTCGAATTCTACTCAGTTGAGATTGTGTAATCTTCTTGAAATTTTCTTTACCTTAATCGGAACTTTATATTTATTTAGTTAAGAAATGGAAATAGTCTACCCACACTTGCTTCTGTTTTCTCTGTATCATCTAGAGGTTAGGACCTACCTCTATCTAAGATATTAGGAAATCTCTCTTGTGTAAGCAAGCAACCGATTCCTTGGAAAAAGAAATAAGTCAGCTAAACCCTATCTTTTCCGTTTTAAGTATTGTGCTTCTGATCTATGTTACTCGGACTCTTCAAAAATGCCGTCGGGTGTGTGTCGGATCCTCCAAAAGTAGTGGATTTTTGGAGGATCCGACACGGGTGAGGCAACATTTTTGAAGAGTCCGAGCAACATAGCTTCTGATTCTTCCTGACTGTACTTTACTCCTTATCAGTTGTCTCAAAGTGCACGTTTGCAAAATTCCTAGAGGCCAGTTTCTTAGA